AAAGCGCCAGAGGGAAGTATTCTGACCTGATTTTCCACACTGAAAAAAGAGACCTGGCTGCTGTGTGAAAGCCAGATGGGGGCGGGGAGGGGGGAGGGTTAGGGTAGAAGCAGAGCAGCTGCTCGGCAGGCTGCCATGCTTATCTAGGTGTGAAAGGATAGCAGTGTGGCCCTGAAGAAGTGGCATGAAGTCAAGACTTGGGAGACAGTATGATGATGAATATAGGTGGATGGTGATGGAAGAGAGGGTCTGGCTATGCCTCTACGCGTGGTAAACAATGGTGTGGCCATTCGTCAACATGAAAAGCGTGGCTTTGTGTAGAATTTCCGAAGTTCTTCTCTAGAAATTAAGCTAATGATGCTGTTAAGTGGGAGGTGTCAGGCTGAGCGATACAAGGAAAGGCCTGGAGATCAAGATTTGGCCATATAGTTGTAAGGAAAATAAATGACAGTGGACAAACCTAAAGAAAGGGTAAGAGATAAAATCTAGTCCAACCGAAGTCCTAAGTAATTACCAATCTTCAGAAGTGGAGTTTAGAAGGAAAACAGTAAAAAAAGATGCAGGTCCCTGGGGCACGGCACTGGTCAATAGCCAAGAGGCTGAAAGAAAGATAAGGTTTTTCTGTGGAGTGGAAGGCTGACTGGGACTGGAATATTCAGAAGGTGAGGAAGACAGGAATTCCATGAGTAGACGATCCCCCCCCCCTCCCCTGGAGGAATCCCAGCCTGTAGGTATATGGCTGTGACTCCCTGCTGTTTGGTCTGAATTCAGTTCTTGTGAATAGCTATATGGCCTGCTGGATACATGCTGGCCTGAGATTTAACTGAATCACAAACTACTTCTACTGCCCTTCTTAGAAGGCACTCATTTCTCTTGCTTGTGCACAGAGCTGAGATTCTGGTAGCCAGTCCATGGTCAAGTCTTAACCTCAGGGGCCTGCTTATCAGCCCTTCCCCCATCTTATAGTCCAGCTGACTTGGCTTTCCTTAGTACCCCACGAGTCCCACCTCTTAAATGCTTTGTGGGTACTCCGCTGCTTAGAACTGTGACAACACACACCAAACCACCACTTACTGTGTGATAAGATACCACCTTTTATGACCGTATATAGCCCGTTTTTTTGGTTAGGGTGCTAAATACTGGAGTGGGAAGACCCATAACTGAAACCTGAACTGGATGGTTGGTCTTCGAGTCCTATTCCACATAGAGTTATTCTGTTTTTACCTGGTGGTAGTCACAGCAAACAAAATTACAAGAGATTGTGCAATCCCAGGCAATCCCCAGAACATGGTGAATGCATTCGTACTGAGGGAGTAATTTATATTTAATTTCCTCTTGTGTGAAGCCAAAGAGAATGCTTGCATTGGCATACAGTTTTAGGTACAGAAACCACATAAATTCTTCCCTGTCTGACAGCCAAGCACATTAAGTTGGAAACTAGAAGGAACATGACATTAATGGTTGAGATTTCAAAATGACTGGGATAGGCAAATGGGTTCTTAGATTTTCCAAGTCATCCTGTGAGTGGGAAAACAGCCTGAGAAGTTCCCTTAATTTCTGAGGGACCTCAACTCAGGCCAGGCCCAGATTCATGGCTTTGACCCAGAAAGGAATCTCAGAACCGGCTAGTATGCAGCAGAGTTTGAGATTTTACTAAAGATACTTTATGCATGAAGGTTAGTTCTCCTAACTATACATGCATCCAGAAAGAAAGACACAGTCAATTTGGTATGTGCGCCCCAAGGTAGAACAGCAGCAAACTAGACTCACCCAGGTGTGGGTACCTCAGAGGAGAGTCACAATTGTCTCAGCATCAACCATACCTGCCATTTTCGGTTTCTCTCAAGTTGTGGTTTAAAAGGTTGCTCCACTCCCATCTCTTTCTGATAAGTGAGAGTATAGGGTGACTCCAGATATTTTAGGATTACAAACGGATAGTGTAAAACAAAGCCACTCAGTCTGCACAAGGGATTAGAGAAGCGTCAAGCTCAGTTATTGATGATTCACCAACCAGAGGCTTCAACCAACCAGGTTAGGGATCCCTTCCCTTCTTATGTCCCCATAATTCTCTTTCTACCACCATCTGAGCTACAAGCCACATGTATCATTTGGAACTTCCTCGATTCCACATTAAAATGCAAAACATGTGAAATTAATTTTAATAGCATAGAGTGTGGTTCAGGGTACACACTTGCCCAAGGTTTGATTCCTAACATTGTTCCCTTAAATATAATAGTGATATTCAGTCATATTTAACTCAATATAGCAATTTTTTGGCATATCGTCAGGGTTTTAAAAATTGAGATACTTTATTATTATTGAAGTTTCAAATTCCAATATCCTTCTTAGACTTACATGGCGTCTCTGGGCTTCCACACTAGATATGCGGTGCTACTTCCGCATAGAATTGTTGGGATCCTGGCCACTGATCTATGTATGCCCCGAGTCTTATTATAGGTCTGTCCCTCTCAACACAGCCAAAAGAACCCACATTAGAGGTGTGGCCTATTTTTGCGTCTTCAAATAAGTGACATAGTTTCCTGGTGTCTCTACTTCTTGCCCTTGTATATAAACTTAAGTGGTCCTAGAGGGACAGTTTTGAGCTCCCAGAGCTGGCAACACTCCACATCACCCCTAGCTGGGGATCACAGGTCTGAGAGCAGCTTTGTTTGTTTGGGTGGTCTGTCCTACTGTAGAGTTTACTAGGTCCACAAATTCTCCTGGGTCTGTGAGAACCCACTTGCTAGGGAGGGAAGTCCCTTTGTTGGTGGCAGGTGGGAAAAGATGGAGGCAGGGGTGGTATCTCTGTAGAAGGTTTTTGTTGTGAATTTCTTTGACGATTCGAGTTTTAGTTTTCTTCACAAGCTGTTCTTCCCCTTTTGTACAGTTAGTCAGCTTTGTGGCCTCTGTACTCACACCACACCACATGTATACACAGACACAGGAAACTTTTATAAGGGAAGAAATCAAAACCAAGCGTAAGTACCTTTCTAGCCAATGAAGGATGGGTGAAGGAGCACCCACCCCTCCTGCTCTCCTGACCTTGCCTCAGCTGGAGGGGGGCTGCTTGGGAGGGTTAGGGACAGAGGGAGCCTCTCTTCCGGCAGGGAACGCTACCACTCTGTGATTCCAGTAGCAAACACAGCTTCACCAGGTTTCTCAGTGACCGCTAGTGCTCAGGATGAACGTGTTCCCCAGCAGGGGGAGAGGTGTACCCTCGTTCCTGCCTGCCTTGTGGCCAGCTATCCTGCAGCTAAGGCCAAGTGGAAGGGCCTAGTGAAGAACGAGTCGCCATACCACAGGCTGCTTGCTGGGCTTTCTCCCCTGGGGTTTTGTGTGGAGTGACTTCCTCCAGTCACCAGTCCAGAGAGGTCACGTTGCCCTGATAGCTGAAATGTAAATGATTAGATACTAGAGGGATCAGGAAGGGAAGATGGAGGTCAGAGCCACACAGGAAGTAATCTCCCCCACCCTGAGGTGGCAGTGGGTGCAGCCACCATGGTTTCTTGCCCCTCCCCGCTTTCCAAGCATTCTAAGCATCTCTGAAGCCATTCAGCATTGAGTGAGACCAGAAAACCCTGTCTAGCCTGGGTTCTGCGATGTGCTTGCTCACATGCCATACAAAAATGGTCAAACAAGGCAAAAATGAGTGAAATAGCAAAGCCTTCTGCTAACCCCTTCCCCAACCACTGCTAAATCTGTGGTTGGTTTTTTGGTATATCATCACAATACAACCCATTTCTAGCTGTTCTTATAAAACAATGTTCTATCCTTCCATGTCAGTGCATGCTGATCTGCATTTAGGCAGATTTATCGACAAGCATTTCAGTAGCAGGGACAGATCCTGATGAATTCAGACACTCCCCTGATCTCTGTGTGGGCCCACCACAGTAGGTTGCAGTGATCAGCAGACAACTCCAGGGTCAATTCTTTCCTTCCACTCTGTGGATTCTCAGATGGAACTCAGGTCGGCAGGCTCGGTTTGGTGGCAAGTGCTTTTACCCACTGAGCCAACTTGCCAGTCTCTCTATCCTTCATTATTGTAATGTAAGCTGAAATGATTCCAGCTTCAACCGATACACCTTGGGGTATCACGCTCAAGTATTTAAGGTGTTTCTAGAAATCAGTTTGCTTAGTCAAAGGGATGTGTGCATCTTTTGCTACTATTTTGGACACTACTACTGCCAGCAGGCACAGATTCATTAGGGTGATTTGTAGTCTTCCCACGAAGCCCTTTTTAGAGTAATTCCTTTTTCTACACCCTAAATTCTCAAGAAGCTTGAAGAACAGTAGTTGTGACTCAGGCAGCCCTCAAGTTACCAATGAGGCATAGTGCTCAGGTGCTGGTGCAGGGAACCAACTCAGTAAGGCGAGGTACACAATGTACTGCCAAGTCCACTATGACAGCGACCCTATCTATCTACGTGGCATCAGGGAAGCACTAATACATCATTACCTGCCGGGACTCTGGAAAACGCCCTGCCTGCTTCCTCTCTCAGCTAGCATGAACCATCACAGCAGTAAAGAGCGCATGGAGTCCAATCAGAGTGCAAATGAAATTTAAGTGCTTTACTGAGAAATGAGGACTTTTACGATGAAACAAATGTCGTTTCGATTCCTTTCTCCAATACCACCATTTTTTGTTTCCGTATGGTCTGTTAATGAGCAAGAACTAGGCAATCTAGGCATGGAACTGGGAGCTGTTGCTTAGATACGTGGGCAATGAGAGTTTGTGGTCATGACTGAAGGCTATCTGTCAGTAGCACCAACTCCTGTCTTCTTCCATGGGGCATATAAGGCGCACTGAAGAAGCAGGCTCGGTCGGTCTTTGAGAACGCAGTGTTGAGAAATGCTCATTTTGGCTGAGCAGAGCCGAGCTGTGTTCCTCAGCCCACTACTAGCTTACCTTTCTATGCTCTGGACCCTGACCCTTGGCCAGCTACCCTGCCTCCTTCCCACCAGCACCTGCTGATGGCTACTGCTGCCTCTCTTTGACACAGGGAGAAGAAACTCAAGGCCAGAGTTCAAGAGCTGGTCAGCGCCTTGGAAAGACTCACCAAAAGCAGTGAGATCAGACACCAGCAGTCAGCAGAGTTTGTTAATGACCTAAAACGGGCCAACAGGTAAAGTTCCTGTGCAGCCCAGAGGCTGGGCATGGGAGGATCTATCTCCTGGGAAGTGATTGACACAGGGAGATCCTTCCCTGTCTCCTGGGAAGTGAGTAACACAGGGAGATCCTTCCCTGTCTCCTGGGAAGTGAGTAACACAGGGAAAGCCTTCCCTGTCTCCTGGGAAGTGAGTAACACAGGGAGAGCCTTCCCTGTCTCCTGGGGAGTAACACAGGGAGAGCCTTCCCTGTCTCCTGGGAAGTGAGTAACACAGAGATATCTTTCCCCATGTCTTTTGGAGTACAGAGTCTAGAGTCTGCCATACAGCTGACTAGAAACCCAGGAAATTCAAGATGAACACCATTTCAGATTAGATGGGCTTAGGAAAATGAAGTCTATTGTGGTTTCTCTTTGACGTTTCCCATAATAAATGTTCTGAGATGTCATGAGCAACAATAAAAAAATCTGTGTGTGAGCCAGTGTTTTCAATCGGCAGTCAAACCATCAGAGCAATTCCTCATCCAGTGAAACATTTCAGGGTACTCTAGACTCCAAGTTAAGAGGTTCAAAACATTTGCAGTACATGATCTTCCTATATGTAAAAAATTGAGGACTTCAGAACCTTTGTGCCTGTAAGATATCTATTAATACTTACAATATCTGGAACTAAAACTGAGACAGACTTTTAAGTTTTTATTCATTTACAAAAATTCAAGCTTGGTAGATATCACACATCTATGAAAACCACTGTTTCCCAATTGTAATTAGAATGGCACATTTCAATTTTGTAAGACTGCCTGGCTAATAGGTTACCTGGATTTCACAGTCTGCTTTGCTATCAATGTAAGACTCCCTGAACAAAGTTTTCAGAATCCCAGATGGATGTGTGTGTCCTCAAGCCACACTTTAGGAACTCCAGCTAGGGCAACATAGTGTACCTGAAGGGAGCTTATGTTCTATTTTGGAGCAGAGAGAATATGTAGACACACCTGGGCTTGTCTCCAGTCCAGTGGGCATGGATCTAGGGCCAGTTCACAGGCCTATTTTCTTTAGGTGACAGCATTTCCTTACAGTCCAAAGCACAGCAAAGCAGCTGCCCCTCTCCTGGGTGAGAGAATACTTTATGTAACTTATAGTTGGCCAGTATACCTAGTGTCTGTATTTGATTTTCTAGAATTCAGCAACCTCACTCTTACCTGTTTTGGATGTGGCCACTTTGGGCTGTTGGGTTAACACCTCTACTGAGTTAGGCGTCAGCATACCGCCTGGGCCTGCATTAGCATGCTTAAGTCAGAATCCCAGTACTGTGCAGCTTCTAATAGTAGACTTGGGATTCCTACTGAAGAGGCAGGCTGCACTCCCCAGTGCCACAAAGGACAGGGCGTCCCTCACTCCTCAGGATGAATCTTTACTCCCTTTCCTTTGTTCCCACACAGTAACCTGGTGGCTGCCTATGAGAAAGCAAAGAAGAAACATCAAAACAAGCTGAAGAAGTTGGAATCCCAGATGATGGCTATGGTGGAGCGACACGAGACCCAAGTGAGAATGCTCAAGCAAAGAATAGCACTGCTGGAGGAAGAGAACTCCAGGCCACATACCAACGAAACTTCACTTTAACAGGCACTCAGGCCCCAAGGTTCCGCCCCAAGGGGCTGAACTCCAGCAGCTCTCAAGTCCTCTGCAGAGAAAGGGTTCAACGAGAAGACTGCACCTAGGTCACGGCTCCACCCTTGGCGCGAGTAGTCCGTGATGGCACGCACCATGGATTGTGTCTGCACGGGCTTCAGCTGCTCCAGGCCTGGCCACGAGGGGTGCCAACAATGGCTCCAGCCAAGTGCACAGCCATGTCTTGTTTCATTTTCACCACACAAGTTCTCATGCTCTTCTCACTTGTTCCGTGTAGTGGTGGGTGGGAATCCAGGCACTTGGTTTTATGCGGATTTCCAAGTCTTTTTCTTTTTTCTTTGGTTTTTCATAGACTGGACTATTCTCCTGAAACCTGGATTTCTTCCTTCCTCCTCCAAGGGAAAAGTGACAGTGTTTTGTGTGTTTCCAACATCTAGGGCTTGCGGCCCACCGCAGCAAGGCTCTGCCTTCCAGGTCCTAAGGTACCAGATTCCTGAGATAGTCACATAGAGGGATTAGTTGAGAGTGACAGACCACTGGAGGACACAGTGTCGCTGATCACCCCAGACACACCGCAGTTTCAAACAGAGCATCATCACGGCTCTGTGTAGACAGTTCTGTACTGGACAAATAAAAAACATCTATTTTTATTGTACAGGCAGGGGTGGAAGCTGTTTTAATCCCCGTCCAGCAAGAGTAAAACTTAGAATACTCTTGATATATGTAGTAAAGCCAAGGTTTTACCAGGGTTTTTTTCCTAGGACAGAAAAAAAGCAGTATTAGCTCTTTCCCAGCCCCAGGGCACTACAGTTCCTATTCTGAATCAAAACTTTGCTACCTGAGCACATATGTAGCTGGACCCTGCCTCTCTCAGGGCAAGAGGCTTTACGTTGTTGGACAATGAGACCCTTAATGTTGTACAAGATGGTTGCCACCTATAAATAGAGTGCCATTGAACCTTTAGTCCCCAACATCATGAAGGGGATTGGGTGAGGGAATGGCTGACAGGCTTCCTAGTCTTTCCCTCCAGATGCAGTGATTTCAAGCAAAATGGTGACCGGGAGGCATGACCTCAGTACCTAAACTCTAGGGAGGCATCCCAGTCATGTTTTCTACTGTAGCTTTTACCATTTTACCTTCTGCTGTTCATAGATACAATTAAGGGACAGCCTGGCTTTTTTTCCACCTGTGGCCCCCAAGACACTCTCCATCTGCTGTGAGAAATATGCTCCACTGTCATGGTTAACTAGGGGAAGGATGCTGTGCTTATGACCATGGTGATGCTGCAGACTCCAGGCTATGGGTGGATCTGCTTTTAGAACGCAAAGTTCTTCAGCCTTCTGTGCATGAGGAAGAGATGCTCTGGCTTTCTCCTACAATGGTTAGCCCCCAAAGCTCAACAGTCTTTCTTTCTCAGACCAGTACCAAGCTCTACTCACCCTGCGAACAGAAACAAAAATGTGACTGGTTTGAGTCAAGGCCTGGCCCTTGAGTGTTGATGGCTTTTTAGCCTTTTGTCAATCCCTGTGATCCATTTTCTCAGTGTTCACTTTTGGGGTAAAGTTCTATTTTGTTATGAGGAAAATGTGTGGATAGAAACATCTGCTGCCTCCCCACCACCCCAAGACTTTAATAGATAAAGTTAGCTTTCAGTTTTTCAGGTACCTGCAGGAAATGTCTGCTCCCAAGCAAATTGGGACGGGCCTGGCTGTCCTGGTTGAGGAGACCCCACATTCCAGGTAACAGATGATCGCTAGGCTTCCTGCTCTGTCCATGCAGATACAGTCAGCAGCATGCATGCAGGAGGCTGAGATGGAAGGTGAGACTGAAGCAGAGATGGCGGTCCACCTGCTGAGCTCTGCCCCCTCCAGGTAAAATCAGAGAACCTATGCCTCTAGGTCCACAGTACCTCCACAAAAAAGACCCCAAAGCAGTAATCCTACCAGGCCTTAGTCTGAGTTTCTAAGTACATAAATATATGGTGACTTGTGAAAACCATTTGACAAGCTAAAATGCCACGTTTTTAAAGAAGTGGGAAAGGGCCATACAATCTTTTCCTTTTAATTTTCAATCTTTGTTGGGGGTTGAAGCAGCAGGCATTTGATTATGTGAATTGTCGCACTGATTAAATATATGATAGCAGGTGCCTGAGTAATTTTCCTTTTTGTTTAACCTGACTCTTCCGAACATACTCTTAAATAGGAAATGGTTTCCATTAACATGTCTATTATGGCTAACAAAATCATCTTGATTTTAATTTGTATGGGGTTAAAAACCTTCGGAATTTCCTATCTTTGAAACCCCACCACCACCCAAAGTCTTCAGGGGTTCTCTGTAGGCAGGCACCTTTACTAATCAAAGTCAATTTTGGCTCCTGAAACAGTAAGCAGAGCAAAAGGTCCCGTTAGGAGCCATTTCAAGGTTCCCTTGGACTGTATTCTCCCATTCTGAACTGAGGCAGACAAACCCGAGTAGGCAGCAGTCCCATGAGACATCTATCCATGGCTGGCTCTGGTCCCCTGCAACAACCCCATGTACAAACTTGTTACAAGTCAAACTTGCCTTCCTTGTAACAGTAAGAAAGCCTCCATCGGACTCACAACAAAGACTGTCATGTGATCAGACAGCTGAGGTTTATCCTTGTCTCCTACCATACATACTCCAGGTCTAAATGAGTGTCACATGGCACCAGTGGAGGCAGAGAACTTGGACCCACTCTCACCTGCTGATGTGGCTCATTTCTTAATGTGTGTGTAGCCTGAACCTGGACACTACATTTAACAGACATTTAGAAGTTTTTGTTAGCCAAGGTGCTTGGTTCTCTGTTCAGCCACATGAACTTACAAGGTCTTCCTCTGAGCCTGTAGCGAATTTTACAAGGGCTTCAGAGAACTCTAAAATAGAACTTTGGCATGGTTCTGTAAGGAAGAGCAGTCTAAGGCACAGCCTTAGGCTTTTATTCATTCTATAAACTGTTAAAAAAAAAAAAAGGTGCTTAGTAACCTTACCACTGTAAGGGAAATGTGAGACTATTGGAAGTCTAGTTCCTACATACAGACATTACCTGAACAGGAAAAAAAAAAAATCTTAGTTTGCTACAGGGTTGGAATGCCTGTATCACTGGCATGAACTGAAAATCACCAGGCTTCTGTATCCACCTGTCCACTATGCCCCACAAAAAATTCTATGCAACGATATAAATTGTGTAAACTACATCAGAGCTGCCAGGAACCGGGCTATCACACTCATGTTTTAGGTAGAGAATAACATCATGGCAGTAACAGAAACAACACTCTTATCTGTCAAAACACTTCCTTCCATAAATGCTTTCAATTATAAATGTTTCATTGGGAGTATGTCAACAACAACAAAAACCCAGCACTAAGTGTACAGTGTCACCTACCGAACTACATTTATTTTTTTTTTAGAGCCCAACAGAACAAATTCACTGATGATTAGAATTTCTGCCCTGATCTTCATTAGAGTATGGTCCTAGGGAGGGAGCGGGGCACACAAGCTTAAGTAACATTAGTATTTTCTTTCTGTGGTACACTGCAGCTTTTAGAACAAGATATAACTGCTGAAGAAATCAGCAATTTTGTGTTTAGCCAATAGAACCTAAATAACGAAGAACGACAGAACAGCACCTTGGCCACAGCTTGCAAACTCTGGTGAGCAGGCCTGGCTTGCTATCGAAACGCCTCCGCCTTTGAAGTGTGTGCACAATGGAAACCCCTTGTTTATATACAGGTCAGGTCGAAGTCCACTCTCAACCTGGTGCCTCCTAATCTCACCTCATTGTCGAAACACCTCTGTATTCGTTTAGAAATGTTTCTGTCTGCTGCCAATGGTCTGAGATGCTGTGACCCCAGCTAACTGAGCACGCTTGTGTAGAGGAAGACATTTTCATATGCAGGCAAGCATTACAATTTTGGTAATCCAGTATAACCTTAACATGTTATCTGATATTTTGTACATGTGTACTAAGAGGGGGAGAAAAAAAAGCTGGGTCCCAGAATCAAGAACCATTGTTGGATAAGTACACCCACCACTTAGCATTTGACCTTCCCAGTCTCTCATCTGATAATACCGGAACCGCCTGCTCATCAAACAGCATGCAAGTTCTGTAGAGGATTCCACCCCCATGGAGATGCTCTGGTTAGGTATGGTTCTGCTCTATCGTTCGCCCTTTCCATGGTCAGACTCATGTGGAAAATGGCTGTAGAGCCCACAGTGTTCCTCTGCAGTCTTCCTGTTGGGACACCCACTTTCCAGCGCCCCCATAACCTAATTTTGTTAGGACCTGATGCAAAGACTACAAAACATGTTCACTTCTGTTTCTAATCCGCTTTTAGACATATTAACTTACTTTGCATGAAATTTCACTTTTTTATTAATGGAAAATGTGCTTTTATACCACTTGAATTAGAAACCCCTGCTTGAATGTACTGTCGTTAAAGCACACGTGACTGTCTGCATCTGTCAGTACTGTTCTGTTTGTACCCAAGTCTCATTGTAAAGTGGCTACTAAACACTGTACTATACCTTGTAATTTTTTAGGCTCACTTGTAGCTTTAAATGTTTCCAGATGCCTTTAGTTTTAGCTGCTGTAAAATAGCTACTTTGTGTTATTTGATATAGAATTGTTTAAAAAAAAAAAACCTCCATTTATTTATACAGAGACATTTATAATATTTTACAAACGTTCTTATATTCTGAATAAATATTTCTAATTCCATGAAGTACTTTGTTTTAATTAAAGAGTAAGAGGTTCTATAGAAGTCTTTGCCAGTCATGCATGTAAATACAAACCAGAGATGCTTCCATTCATTTAGGGGCTAGATGTAAAACTACTTCAGATCAAAAGAACAACAAAATTTTCGTTTATCACCAATTTTTATTTGGTTGCTTTCACAAACATCATAAACAGAAGGTTCTCTATTAGATGATATTTTTAAAATGTAAAGGATCAGGAAGTCAAATGGAAACTACTAGAGAGCAGTTCCATAGCATGTCAGAGTGTTAACATGTCAGAAGTGCTAAAACACCGACTTTTGGCTACATGGAAAGAACTTTTGATAGTAACAGTTATATAGCTGAGAACTCTAAAAGAACAATGCATTTCTCCTTCTGTCTGAGACCCAAGAACAGGACATTCTGCTGGAAAGCCCAGTTCTGGCCTAAGTTTAAGAATCATTGCATTTTACTTATCTGGTTTAGACCGCCAGTCCACCACTATACTCTTGTTAAGAGAGCCAAACTGTGAATGGAGAAAAAGATGACATTCCCACTGTCCACTGTCATTTCTGAATGAATTCTATGTTTTATATTCCTACTAATGCAAACAACTTCATAACCTTTTGGTCCAGGTCCAGAGATCTGGCAGCCAAGAATAACAATAATGACTTAAATAAATTATAGTAAAAAGAACAGGAGCAGAACCAATGATAAAGGAGCAACTAAAACAGAGCCAATTTTATAGGTAATGCATTCTAAATATCCAGAATTAGACCAAATTTTACAGTATTCTACAGAAAGCCAATGTGGGTGACTTGCCATCTTCCATCATTTTAAATGTATTGTGGGGGGGGGGGGATAGTTTTAGCTTTGAAGTGTGAATTACATTCGAAAAGCCTTTAGAAGGTACAGCATACTTACCATTGAAGACAGCCCTGCATATCTCAGGGGAGAGTACAGGTGTCAATCTCCATGTCTTTGGAAGTGCAGTGCTCCGGACTCATTAATTCACAAACCCCAGTCACTGGAAATTTATGAGTCACACCAATGTAAGTGAAAACCAGTTCCAATCATTTCATAGACACTGAACTTGAGTGAAGCGGTAGGGGGTGGCACTGAATAAATTCAGTCCTAAAGGTGGTTGTCACACCACAACGAACCTAACAGGCTATTTGGTGGGGGGGTCCTTGTTGCTTTACCTAAATGTTTGACTAATAACCACAATAAAGCAAATAACTTTCACACTACCACAAACATAATCATATAAAGGGTTTACATCATCTTTCCCCAAGTATTAAAATGCCCTAGAGTCAAATAATAAAAGTTAGGCCAAGATTAAATGTTAAATTGTTTCACATAAGACAAAACCAATTAATGAAGAAACAAAGGTTACAAATCTATTTATTCTAAAGCCCAGGTTTTTTCATTGAACATTATATCCTTAAGTAATTTCACCATCGTTTGTGTACCAGCTTTGGCAGCTTCCATGACTCAGCATATCATTTACCTTTCCCAGACAGACTTACAGACAAGCAGACTATTTCAAGACTACCAGGAGCATCAGGTTTTCACAGCATAGTGTAAACCACTTCTCAAAGACATAGTGCTTAAAACTATACAACTTTTACTCACTTCTGCACCCAAACTAAACTGTACGCTTCATTTTTGTAAGATTTAAGACTGTTTATTCATTCATTCATTTATTTATTCATTTATTTACTTATGAGAAAGGGTTTCTCTATGTAGCCCTGGCTTTTCTGGAACTGTGGCCTCAAACTCGAGAGATTCCCCTGCTTGATTACAGGTGTGTACCACCATGTCTGGCCTGATTTAGGACTATCTTAACTAAGAATATCACTTAAAATAGCTAAATACATGAACATTCATGAAGATTCATTATGGTTTCATTGAAGCCAACAGATTAACCGAATCATACCTAGGTCTAATAAGTCAGCACTCATTTTAAAACATTTTAAGATTTAAAACTAATCAGCAAATAAAAAAGTTTTTAAGAATTAAAGCCAAGTTAAGGGTTTTACTACTCTTGCCTATTTGTTAAACTGAAAAAAATTATTATTCATACAATGGAAGTTAGCTGTCTGCTCTCCTAATTTGAACGAAACAAACTGAAAATGAAAGGCTCATTCCCTTGGATACTTGCACTTGACATTTAACAGTTACCTGTCTAACACTCAAACACAAAGCAAAATTGCTACACAGACATCAGCGAAATGCATACTCCTGCAGGACCACCTCATGCTTTTCCAAGGTATTGTGCATGCCACGTGTCCAAGTACGCCACTGTTCACGCTCCAGGTGCATTACCGCAACTCACCAAGCCATCCACAGCCAGCAGATGCTACCCCTCCAAAGCTCACAGCTGGCAACCTCTGTGCTAATTTCTTAAAGCTTGAGAAATGGCTTAAAAATGTTACAGCTGTGTCCCCAAACAGTCTAGAGCTATTGTTTTAGACATCGAGATCAAATCACTGGAAGTACAAAGTATTTGGACCTTCTACTTGAAAAGCTCAATATCCTAAGAACTGAGGACTAGGAAATGTTGCCCATTTCATTCTAGAACTACATTGAAGTGTTTTCTCTGCTCCCACACCAATTTCACAGCTATATACATCGACTTGAGAGAGCACAGCCCTTCTCGCTGCTTGAGGCTCAAGAGTTAAAGTTCTGGCAAATTCTCATGGAGCCAGATTCATTTAGAGATACAGCACACAGAAAAAGACTGATTACTGAAACAGATGCTCAAAAAATGGCACTGAGCAAAGGAGCCAGTAACAAAACATCAACCCAAACTACCCAACCCTGCAGCAAACACTGGGGGCCTCACCTCCCACTGAATAACCTAAGACCAAGCCACACCCTGAAACGGACCTCCCTCATTTCTCTCCCCAGAACCGTTGACCAACACCACCCAAATTACTAGCATCTTGAGGTGAATTCCTTTTAGACCGTGCTTTCAGACAGCGAGCACAGACAGAACCCATGCCTCTGCTACACTAAGACTCAAGATACATGTGATCGCTCTACTGCTGACTTCAAATTAGGTATCCTAGTGTGAACATGTCTCAAAAGAAAGCCTGGGAGCTTTAACACAAAGTACAAAGGAGTACAGGGGAAATTCAAACAAACAAAAGCCCTGTTAGCCCTAGGTTAACAGAAATGCCTTCACATCTAGTTCTATGCATGAGTGGGCTGAGGCTTCACTTTCCACTAGCTATATACTTCAGTAACAACTGCTGCTTGTCACAGGGAAACTGCTGGCAGCACACCCACATGCTTGTGACTCTGCTACACTCTGGGCTATCTTGTTATCAACAGAGTAGTTAAGAGCATTGGCTGTTCTGGCAGAGGACCTGGGTTCTATTTCCAACACTGTAACTCCAGTTCCAGGGGGATCTGACACCCTTTTCTGGCCTCCTTGGGCACCAGGCACACATATGGTACACATACATACACATTACAAAGAAATTAAAGTAATAAAAAAATTAAAAATGAAGTCCAGAGTGCCCAGAGCTCTGCAGAATCAACACAGAAAGGGCTCAAAACACCAGTCCTTAAAGTGAGAAAAATGACATCAGAATCAGCGGATTGCTTGGCAATCATACTTAGAAAACACCACTTCATTGAGGAGAAGAAACTGCTTGGGAAGGACTCACATTTCGACTCTGCTTGGGCTGGGTACCGGCCACTTTCTCATCTGGAGCATCATGTAATCACTCAAGTGCTAGTAATGCATCAGGAGTTTCTTCCTTGAGCTCTGCCGAGCAACTACTAGAAATGACAATCTACATCTGACAAATCTCGGATTGCTGATCTCAATCTACTACCTTCTACCACAGGCTTCAGGAATAACCCAATTCTATATATAGAGAGAAAAAGATGTGGAGAAGGACCACTGTAAGCCCATTTATAGACTTTTAGGAAGCTACACAAATGTGTTCTAAAGCGTTAAGACACCAGGAATGAGCCGTTCTGGCCCAGCCTTACCAAGCTGTGAGAAGTAATGCCCCATACATAAAGGTGATAATAACTTGGGACACAATAGTGCTTTCCTCTGCTCATGGTCAATTCAAGTCACAACACATCTGAACTTCCTCTCTCAGGCTACAAAATAATCCAACTCAAAACCAGGAGGAAGAAGTGTTCATGAATACAACCATGATTAATAACACAAAGAAAATACCGCCTGAGAGAACACAACTCTTGTTACTACGATCTCCAGGAAAGGAGGTGCACAGGTAGAGAAAAGGCCAAGATGCATTGCAGAAGAAAACTTGTCCAGCAAACGATCATTTCCCGGTTCCCTTCCTCTATTACTATTTAATGGCAGAGGAACAGAGTTGCTAGGCGAGGGATTTGGTAACGAAATGTTTTTAATGCACATAGGCACCAGTCCTTGACATTTTTAGAAACAGTATTCTATAAAGGAATTTGATTCCTATAGAATATAGCCATTCTCTAAGATTTGCAATTTTTTATTGACACTACATGTAAATTACTAAAACTCCAAAAGAAAAATACAGCCAAGTCTTACAGCATAATATTAATCTGCTATATAACTCCATTATCTGTAATTACTAATTAGTATTTAATATAAAAATAATGATATTCAAAGTTCACAACAGCAAGCAGTGTCCACAATTCCTCTGACAGTGCTGGGAGACTATTTTTTGTATACTGGTACAAAAACCTAGTTAGATCTTTCAACAATTCCACCCAAGCTACCAGGTCTATGAGGTTTTTCAGGCCCCTCAAAATGCTCATGTCTCAGGACGGAATCACTGTTTGAAATCCTAGAGTCATCCATTCACTACTTCTTAACAAAAACTTACAGGGAGTATGTAAACTGCATTCTTTGTCTCTTGGAGTAAAATGGCTAAGGACAAAGTTACTTAACATTCTTCAAACCACTGAAGTTACACATAAGAGCACCTACAAAGTTAGACTTAAAAAGATTCACAGTGCACTGCACCTTGGAACACATGCG